AGAAAGATCAACTGATCTTGATGAAAAATCTTATCTCCAGTCAAAGGAGCAGAGAGAAGATCCCATAATCAAACTTGTCTATTTTGCAGTAGTATTACCATGGTCTGAAATTCGGTATTTTTTGTTAAATATTCCTGATTTTTTAGGTCAAATAAAAGGAAGAAAAGGCAGAGCTGACAAGTCCTCCTCTTTCACCCTGCTTAATATTAACATAACTCACTTCAGAAATCCAAGAATGCTTTAATTTTTTCACTCTAAATGTAAACAAAGTAAGTAAGTATAACTGAATGATCATTTAAACATATAGAGAAAATGCAGTAGTAAAAATGAACTGCTGCGCATTCCACCATAAGTTTAATCATATCGAATCATTCTAAAATAATAATGCCTATCATTCTTATAATGCTTTCCAGGTTTGGGAAGAACCATACAAATAGAGCAACGTGTTGTTATTTAGTAGGCAAATGTTCCCTCACTATGCAAACTGAATAGTTATTGTGCTGTGGAGTCTTAAAAGCAGAGCAAGCATACAAGCAAAAACTGAGAATGATTTCTGTATAATCAAATCCCATTTGGGCATTTTCAAGTGCAGCATGCAAATACATGAAGGCAATGCTGAAGGTGCAATGTTCGTATACTGTCCTGAGAAAATGCCTTCAAAACCAACATAGATATAGCTGCAGACAGCAAAATCTGTCAAATTTCTCCTGATCTGAACTAAATAGCAAGACAGCTCATGCAGGGAAAAGAACCAGGAAAGCAGGACACCCTTTTTCAATTTTTAATTGAAACACTAAGTAATACCTAGTACGTTGCTGTAATTTATGGACAACTACAAATGAAGTCTTGGAATGCTTCAGCATCACTCTACTCTCCTGCAACAGTATTTTGCTTTTTTGAATCTCTTCTTGTCTCCAGGTACTCGTCATTCTTTACATCCACCATGGGAGTGAAACCACTTCCACAGCCTGAAAGAGAAGTTGCTTATGAGCTGCCTTGTCAAACACATTCACCAAGGAATGTGTGGCAAAATGTGCAGCTACAGCCCTGTGTGGAAAGCAGCACCTCTGCTTGAGAACCGTGTTAATCACATTACTTAATTAGTTCACAAATAATCACTTCACACTTATAATCTGTAGCTAGATGTTTTGGCAGCTGAGACAGGGAAATTAATAAAATCCACATTTGTTTAAAGTACACCTGTTACATCTTCTTTATCTTTTTCCTTTTTCCCACGTGTTTTATCTCAGGATTCTGAGAGTTTAATCTTTTTTCTATTTCCAAACTTAATATTCTGAGTATTTAATTTCCTAGTATCTAATGTAATTTTTCCCATGGTCTCTTTGGCAAGAAGAAAAAAGTATATGTGATGATATTTTTTTCTTTCATTTCCTTTAGGCCTGGCCTGGCCTAACTTTCATTAAGTCCCAGGTACAGGATGGCACACAAACACACACTAAACTTGTGAGTCTAAAAATGCTTCTCTTGACATAAAAAAATTAGGAGGTGTTTTTCTCTAGTTGGATCCCAGCTTGCAATTTCTTCTTCCTTTCATAAAATGTGCTTTTATTGTCTCTAGTCCTTTGCAGCATTTCTGTATAAACCCTTTCACTCTTCCTAATCTTGGCCTACCTTCCTTTTTCCTTACCTCTTTTTCATCTCGTGTCCCCTTTTCTCTCTCCTTCTCTGGTTCCCCATTTCCTCCATCCTCCTCAATGTCCCTCACCAATTCCTTGCAGTCCTCTGGGGTGGCTGGAGAGCTCTCTGACCTCCTCTCCCTTGCAGGGATCTGAGGTAGCTTTGCTTCTCTGATGGCAGCCAGCTCCTGTTAAAGAGGGTACTTTCCAGGTGGATTACAGCAGATTCTCATTTTAAGTGTGTCAGCAATTTCTTCTATTGAATAATAAGTGCTTTGCACATCTGCACCTATTTTAAGTCATCCCAGTATCAAGGCACCCTCTCATCACCTTTGGGTGCTGGCTCTCCAGAGTGCTTTGCCTGCTCTGGGTCTTTGTAACTGAGCAATTCTGGACACAGGGTACTTTAGTTGTAAACTCTGGAGTTTTTCTTTAGTTGTAAACTTTGGCTTTTATTTTTTGACAATGATAGTTAAGTTTTCACCTCTGAAGGAAACAATATGAAATGCTGAAACAATTACTCATTTCATTGCAGATTTTCTAGTATTTCTCTCTCCTTGTGGAAACAACACCTTTTACCATTAAATGTTCTCCACTACTTCTTTTCCTTAAATTAACAGTTTTACTCTGAGGAAAGTCCAAGTCCCTGATACTGTATTCCACATTTCTCCAGGAATCACTATTATCTATAGTTTAAAACTGTTGTGATAGCTATTTCTATCTACAAGGGCACAGGTTCTAACCTTATTGGATATTATTCACCAACAAATAATGATCTGAGCTGATCATTGATTGGGAGCTTTTATTTGGCTTCTAAATTATTCCTTCTAGAGTAGCAGAAGAACAGCAAGAGATTCATGGCTTTTCACACACTGAAATTTAGTAAATTTTATTATACAGTGTCTAGATTACCCTTATCACAATAGGTTCAGCTTTCTGTGTGCATTCGAAGTTAACTGTGGAGTCATAAAGCTGACAGAAAGATTTTTGTGCAGCCGTTGTGACACGGCTCTCACAAAAAACCAATTTTAAAAGTGTCACTTAAGAGAAGGATAAGAGGGCTTCTGCAAGCACTTGGATGGCAACCCTCAACTCCGAAAGTGCTGTGTTGCAGCACAGACACAGGTATAGAAGAAAAGATTGGGTTAGGGGTTGGACCACAAATAAAGAATCCCTTTGGCAATACGACGTATTTCTGTTGTAGTTGCTGGGTTAAGCAGGGCCCAAAATCTTTAAAAATTAGATAAAAAGAGGCTTGTCAAGTGAAATATTTATATGACGAATAGGGTTTCTTGGGCAGCTTCTCCTCGTAGAAGCTCTGTGCATAGTCCACACCTGCAAGTCGCTGTATATCATGTTTTTAAACTTCCTGTGGTCAATAAACACCACGGATGTGTAACTCCAAAATGACAGGGTCTCTCCCCTTAAGGCAGGGTCTGACCACCAGCTCACAGGAGCCGGGCACATCCTCCTGCAGCCTTCAGGACGCGGGTACCGCGACAGACTGGAGGGCAGCCGGGCAGGCAGCGGGCTGGAACACAGGACACCCGGCACGACGAGGAGGCGCGACCCTCGCTCTTACATACACCCCTTCGGCCGCCTCAGGGGTTGGTTACAATTAAATTAAACAATTAAATTACAATTATTCGGGGACGCCCTGGGGCGCCGGGGTGAGGCCCCGCGCTCCTCTTCGCCGCGCCCGCCAGGGGGCGCCGCGCCGCCAGGGATGGCGCGGCCGGCGGGGCCCCGGCTCCGCTCCCGGCCCGCGGCCCGAGCGCCGCTGCCCGCGGGGATGCCGTGCCCGCCGGCCCTGCCCGCCCGGCCGCCAACACTGACACGGCTCTCCGCGGGGCGCTGCCCTCCGCCCCCGCCTGGGTGCCCTTGGCTTCCCCGAAGGGTCTCCTCCGTCTGCCCCCGCCTGTCCGGGAGCCTCCGCCGGGAGGAGAAGGAGGGAGTAGCGGCGGCAAGCGGGCGGCGAGCCCTGCTGGGTCGGGTTACAGGGAGCCACGGAGCGGCGGCGAGGCGGGCGGGGACCGCCTGCGGGGCGGCCGCCGTGCTGCGGGGGGGCGCCCGGGGGCCCCCCCCCCCGCGCGGAGGCGCGGCGGGCGCCTCGCCGGGCCCCGCCGTAGCTGGCGAGCCGCGCCGGGCGGCGGGAGGAGGCGCGGGCAGACAGGTGCCCTCCTCCCGAACCGCCGCGCTTCCCGCCGCTGGCATCACCGCCGCGCCGCACGGCGCTGGGCAGCGTCGCCCAGGCAGCTCCCGAGGTCGCCGCCGGCCGCCGCCGGGGGCAGCCCCGCCGCCCCGATGGCCCCCGCCGCCCCGCCGCCGCCCCTCCCTCGCCGCCGCCGGCCGCGGCGGCCCTAGGGGCGTCGGGGCCCTGCGCTGCCCCGCGGAGGGGAGGCGGAGGCGGCGGCGGCGGGGCGGGGGCGGAGGCGGAGGCGAGGGGGCGGCGGAGCAGCGGCGGAACGCCGGCGGAGCGGGAGCCGGCGGCGGCGATGGACGAGTCGTCGTTGCTGGATCTGCTGGAGTGCTCCGTGTGCCTGGAGCGTCTGGACACCACGGCCAAGGTGCTGCCGTGCCAGCACACCTTCTGCCGCCGCTGTCTGGAGAGCATCGTCAGCTCCCGCCACGAGCTGCGCTGCCCCGAGTGCCGCATCCTGGTGGGCTGCGGCGTGGACGAGCTGCCCGCCAACATCCTCCTCGTCCGCCTCCTGGACGGCATCCGGCAGCGGCCCCGCGCCGCCGGGGGCGCCAGCGGCAGCCCCAGCGCCGCGGCCCCCACGTACCCCCAGCCCGCCGCCGCCCCCAGCGCCGTCGCCGCCGCCGCCGCCTCGGCCGCCGCCAGCCTGCGGGAGCTGGCGGCCGCCAGCCGCAGCGCCCTGCTGGGAAAGGTGGGTGCCGGGCCGCGGGCGGGCGGGCCGGGAGCGCGGCCGGGCGAGCGCGCGTCCCCGCGGAGCGCCGGGCGGCCCCGGTTTGCCGGCGGGACGTCCCGCGGGCGGCGGAGGGTGTCCGCCGCGAGCACCGGCGTGCCTGCCCCGCACTTGTGGCCGGCTGTTGTGGTCGCCCCCCCGATCTAACGATGGGAGGCTCGGACGGGGATGTCCTCAAAGTACTTTTGGCGGCCGCGGGCGGCGAGAGCGGCCGGGACCGCCCCGGGACACCCCCCCTTTGGGTGGGTTTATCCCGGCTATGGGACAGCTGCTGCACCGACGGGCCCGGGGGCCGCCCCCGGTGTAGCGGAGCCGGACGTGGAGTTACGAAGCACAGAGTGCCTCGAAAGCGCTTTTATCCGGCGTGCCGGGCTGCGCCGAGTGCCTGTCAGGTGCGGGCAGGAGCCGGCTCCCGCCCTCGCTGCCTGCGGGGCAGTCTCTGGGAACGCTCGGCCGGTCTCGATCCCGGCGTGTTCTTCAACCCAAAAATTTTCCCCTCCGCTCTCCGGGCGCTGCCCGTGCTGTTACAGCCACCCAGAGCCGGAACGGAGCTGGGTTTGAAGCTGAAGCTTCCCCTCCCAAGGGAACGTAATTTCATTTTTATGTATAAGGTGTGTGACTTATTGAAGGCGAGTACTGCAGCGTGTGCATTTATTTATTGAACTCTTCAATCGAGTGCCCCATCTTGCGCCCTTTAAAGTCCATGACAAGGGTTTTATTGGCTCAGAGGGGACAAGATCAGTTCCTCCCACTGTTCTATATTGCTCTTTCATGGGATTTGATAAAATTTTCTATTGGACCTCTTTAGGAGACTTGGGAATGGAGATAGTGTTAAAACTGTGAACTTAATCTCACTTTTAATGTCATATATATACTGGATATGTTTAATTGTCTTTGATCTTTAACGAAATCCACTTGAGCTGTAGTTTAGTGTACAGGCTTTTGATTTGAAAAGGTCATTGCAGAGATTCCTCGTGAAGTTGTATTGCTATAGTAAATTTTTCAATTAATTAATTTCCTTTTATTATTTTTTTTCCTTCCTGAATAAAAGGAATAGACCTATACTGGTGTTTCAAAGTTTTCCCTGCAGGAAATAATGGCAAATGTCATACATTGTTCCATAAAATTCAGTTCTGGAGTTGGAATTGAAATATGCTAGGCAGTATTTCTGGAAGGGTAGATCATTTATTATTGAGCTGTAGTCTTCAATGAGCTTCAGGTATTTAATAATAACTTGTCCAATTTAAAGAAGAAAAGCAATGGAATTCTGCCTTCTGCTTTTTTTGCTTGTTTTTCAACTAAGCTTAATGCTGTACCTTTGTCATAGAAGACAACTCCTATCTTCTTAGTTTCAGCATTACACAAAGGGAAGTTTGTATTCATTAGGTAAAGTACAAAATCCCATGGTCTGGTTTGAAGTCCAGGCAGGTGTTTCTTGTGGGAGGCAGGGTCTGCTGGTTACACTTGCAGTGTTTGTGTTGGAGGGGCAGGGTCTTGCACCCTCACTAGGCTTTTGTGACCATCTAACAGGAAGACAATCTCTGGTTATCAAATCTTTAAGTCCTAGTCAGGCTTGCATATTACAGTGGTGTACACATGTAAGGAAATGCTTGATGGGGAAAACTATTTGCAAATTTTTAGGGAAATTGAATTTTCATTATTTTACCATAAATTGTCAGGCATTTAAAAAGTTGCTTCCCTAGCCATTATTGCAGATATAATGTTGTAAATCAAAACACTTTGCATTTTATCATTTTCTGTCTTTGATTGCATAGCACTTTGGTGAGCGTTGGCAGTTCTGATGTCCATTTCTGTGAGGGTTGTTACCCATCTGAATTTGACAGAAGGCAAAATTACACGACTTCAGAATCACATTTTGCCTATTATGGTTAACAACTGCGATTCTTTCCCCTTTGCTGGGGTTAATGGGTAATTCTGGGGCAGTGGGTCTGCTGGGACAGAGTGGATCTGTGAAAATGTTTGCTTGGCCTTTTGACTGATGGCACAATTTTATCCTGGAAATCAATGCAATGTGCTTGATCCTTACAAGGTTCATTACAGTGAAAGAAAGTCTGAACTAATCTGCTTTTAAAAAAAGCAGCAGGGGAGAATAATCCTCCTTGGAGCTGCTGATACAGCTGATTGCTGAGCAGTCCTTGAGAGAAGAGTGCAGAACCTCTCTCTGTACTAAACAATAGATGGTACAGTCCAGGCTAGAATCAAGCTTTTTGAGGCTGATACGGAAGAGAAGAATTACACCCCTTTCTCTTTTGTGTTGGTCTTTGACAGCTCAGCTGCCTTGAAGAAAGCAGAAGTGATTCTTTGATATATATATATTTCAGAAATTGCTGTAGATCTGCTGCCTGGGGCTTAAATGCAAATTACATTATTTTACTAATTATTACCTTTCATTTTAGATAATGCGGTATATAAAATAGGACATACCATTACGGGCTTTTTGGTAAGGAAAGAAACTGCTGATTGTGAAGTGTAATGGCAGAGAGCCAAGGTCACTTCTATCAGACTTCAATCTTGCCCAGATCCTTGGACTGATATGTTAGAATCACATCAGGGATCTGTTTCTGTGAGAGTTTTAATTAACCTTAGAAGACAGAGCAGGGTCAGTCTCTGTGTTGCTATCATGCCTGTATTTTGCTTACACATCTTATACTTTGGAGAAGTCTTCTTTGCATAGATGCTATTTTCTGAAATCAACACATGTTGTTTATCACTTGGGCAAAACTCTGTGAGGTTTGTATTTCTTTTTCGGGTCTTTGGCCTTTCTTTTCCCATAGTTTGCTGCAGTCTTGGTCTGTACAGACTGCTGAAAGCCAGTGTAAGAGGGGCTGAGCTAGGGGTGAACTGGTGGGCACTGGTGCTGTTTCTGAAGTTGTCCAAGACCGTTCTTCAGACACACTCCTGAAATACTGTAGATGTTTTGAGATACATCTTCATACATCTTCAGTATGAGAGATCTGGAAGTGGTACATACCTACTAACATGGTTGAACAATATTTGGGATTCTCTCAATATATAATGGTGTGACCCAATGCCTCTGTTTCAGTCTGTAAAAAGCAAACAGTCTTGTTCTAAATTATATTGCCTATTTTGAGATGTTCACATTAAAGCTGTGTAAATGCAGAGTATGGTATTAGACATTATAAAACGGTCCAACTGCTGAAAGAGCATACTGGAAGAATGAAGGAAAGGAAATCCAACAACTGTGTGTCCCCCCCAGGGAATAGACAGGAGGCTAAGAGTGGTTTATAATGGTAGGCGCATTACTCACAAGGTTATAATTTATTGGCTCCTCTGTTTCCATTACCACTGTCAAATTGCTTGGGGATTTCAGGTTCTGTCAAAGTAAATGACTCCCTTAGATTGTTCAGGCATTATGGTAAATCTGCCTTCTTTACTGGGTGGGGTTTGGGTTTTTTTTTAACAATTATTACAGTTTATCACTTAATTTTTTTTCAGGAGTTCTTAAAATCTAATAGCCAGCTAAGTGCATGCAAGTCTTTGGTAATTTCCTCCCAAACCAGCCTTCTTCCACTCCAGGTGCAAGGCTTATTGCTTGTTTGCTCATAATACAAACTGAGAACAACATTTGCATGAAAAAGAAACAACCTAGGAAAACAAAACATGTCTCCTTTTTCCCGGAAGAGAGAACACGGCCGAAGTGATGGATAGGGATGTGGTGCGTTACCAGATGGGGTTGTAGGTACTGGTGGAGAGTAAGATGTGCGCATAAGGAAAATGATGTGTCAGCGTGCCTGAGCAAAGTGACGGATGGGCTGCACTCCCGTGTTGCACGGGATGCATCTTGCGTAGCAGATTTGCAGAGCTATTTCACTGTTTCAGGAGCAAGGCTGCCATTTGCTAGCCCTTGGCTTCATGCAGGTTTTGCAAGCAGAAGGAACAGCGCTAATTTGCTAAATAAGCCTTTCAGCTACTCTGTAGAAATTATCCAAAAGAGACATTCTGACGCTTTTTTTTTAAGAGTTCTGCCTCATCCTAGAGTGGGTACAGTGGATTAAAGGAGTATACGTTACAGTATTTCTCTGCTCCTCGGTTTTCTTCCTTTTTGGTTACATTATCAGGTGAAGATCCCACCCTGGGTTACACAAGAGGAAGTGGATAGAGTATGGCATTTATATGTATTACAGCAGGAGAGGATTGTGTAGGAGACACGCTTTGTCTTGGGCGGAGGGTAGTCTTCAGCTTGCCTTTTTAATGGTCAGACTTGCACAGACTGGAGTGCTGTTCAGCAGTGTGCCATGTACACAAACCCAGGGACTTACCTTACTTTTGTTCATTCTCTTTGATTTATTTGCTTCTGATGCTGTAGTTTCACTGATCAGCACTTGAACTTTGTCATAAAGCTATCCAAAAAAGAGTGATGTTCCACGTGTCAAAGGCTCTGATCTTGAGGATTTTCTTTTTGTCTGGCAGATGGCTAAAAATGTGTTTTGACATAGGAGATTAACTACCATACTAAAGGGTATTGTGAAAAATATAGCCAGAAGTATTTAAAACCCCAGCAGCTGAAGCTGTCTTCACAGAAATGAGTGAGCATAGGAGAGGGGATTGCTGAGGGGCTCTGTCAGAATAATTCATCATTCACTGAGCACTTATATTTTCCAGAAAATGTGCCATTTGCAGGTGTCATCTTCATGTCCATTATGTTTTCCAGAAAATGTGTATTTCTACTCGTGATTTTTTCTGTGTGATGATGTTATTTTACTTGCAAGATAGAAAAATGTGTGATGGACCTGATGTGACCAAAGGGTGCCAGTGCTGACAGTGGACTTTTTCTTCTGATCTGGGATGGCTGGCAGTGGCTCAGTCCCACCTAAAATATGGGACAGTGGAGAGGGCTTTGTGCCATTAGCCCCTAACCCTCCATTAGTTGTGTCAGTGTGACATGCCCTCTGTAGGACTCCTCTTGAAGTCAAATGTGA